CTCCGATAGCCCAAAGCAGTTATTTCTAAACAGAAAATAAATACACCAAATGGATAAAATATCAACATTTTGTCTAGGTGAGCGATAAATTATAATTCTAAGGATCACAAATCCCCGTACCTTTCCAATTTGGATATTTCCTATTCAATGTCTCATTTCCCTAAATTAATTATACAAATTAATTTATCATAACAATTAGGGCTTTTTCCCATATTTACAATACCAACCCTAAGGTTCCATTCTCCATCGATAATCCAGCACCAAGTCCATCTTCCAATGTATTACATACATAAGGGTTTATATGTTTGAAATCCCATCTTTTGAAAATTTCACAAAGACCCCAAATTTGTTCAAAATTACCCAACAACCCCCAACATATCGAAATACCAAAATTTAAAGATAAAGCTCATAAGATGGAGTAGGATATCCCTACCTTGAAGTTGGAGCTCAAACGGAGAAGAAGACCAAACTCAAAGTGCTCCAAACTCCAAACTTTTCGGATCAAAATGTAGCCCTCAACGATCAACACACTTTTTACAAAGACACCAAGGGAGTGAATCACTCTAGCTAGATCAAACCCTAGAGAGAGGGGAGATTCTAGAGAGAGGAGCTCTCAAAATCGGTTTTTGGGAAAGTAAGAGAGAGAATGAAAGTTGAAAAGTGATTCAAAAATGCCCAGCTGCCAACTGATATACGCATGATTTACTCGAGTGGAGAATAGGACGCTCGAGCATCAAGCACAAAAACTGGACCCGCTCGAGCTCAAGAAGATCCGCTCGAGCGCCAAGACACAGGAATAAAATATATCCGCTCGAGCGCGAAAACCAGTCCGCTCGAGCGTAGATTCTTCTCTCCCAGTATTTTCACAGAAAATGAACACTCCGCTCGAGCTCAAAAAGCCTGCTCGAGCGCGACCCGCTCGAGCGTAAGGAAACCCGCTCGAGCGTGAAAAACACGTCTGCAAACGTTTTGCAGAGGCACAGATACTGGAAGTGTGTAAATTCCACTCGAGCGCAAAGGGACCCGCTCGAGCGGACCAACAACAAAAACAAACTACACTCGAGCGCAAAAGGACCCGCTCGAGCAGACCACCAAAAGTCTGGGCAACAAGGAATGAGACCAAGGCTTAACCAACCTGTTCGAAATGTGCCCAACACATCCTAAAACTCAAACATAGGGAATTAAAGGATGACAACAAGATATACAACTACCAACTCCACGGAACCTAAGTCCGGGATGTAATAAACAATGAAAGGGAAAACTTGGATCGCTATAAAATGACTAACCAACTTACACAAAAATTAATTAATTAAAACTTTAATATTTTATTTTAAAATTTAAACTATCTTGAATTGAAACATACACAAGAGTACAATATTAAATCGGATTACAATATTCACTTTATATAAATGAAACAACTCACTTTTTCTTTTTAAATAAATCATATCACAGACTAATTAAAGTTTTTATTTTAAAATTTAAACTATTTTTAACTGAACTATACACAACACTACAATATTAAATGGGAGTATAAGATTTACTTTATATAAGTGAAACAACTCACTTTTTTTCTTCTTCTCCGGATGTAGGATTATAAAATATGGGAATGGAAACCAGTCAACGGTAGAACACATTGCTAGGTTCGCAGCCCAATGTGGTGAATTTACCAATAATGATTACATGAAGTTAAGTCTTTTTCCAAATTCTAAATCATAAACTAATTAGAATTTTATTTTTACATGGTTAAATGAAAGCTAGTCAATGGAAAAAATTTAATTGTTTAAAATTAAGAAAATCAGTATGAGAAATCGCGGTTAAACCGGCTACTCAGTCAAACTAAAAATGGTTTAGCCTAATTGGTTAGGTCAAATGACCAACCAACTTATACAAAAATTAATTAATTAAAACTTTTAATGTTATTTTAATTTTAAAATTTAAACTAACTTCAATTGAAACATGCACAAAACTACAATATTAAGGTTCAAGTTATATAAGTAAAACAATTCACTTTTTCCTTCTTTTTCCTATGTGGGATTATAAAATAAAAGTTAACAATTATTTGGACAGGAAGTTTATTTCTAATCAGGCAATCTCAGTTGTTTAATCTTTAGTTTATTTCGAATGAAACAAATCTAATCGATATATTTTGATAAAACTGCTAAAATCAAGGTTAAACCAACAAATCAGTCAAATCAAAAATGATTTAACCTAATTGGCTAGGTCAAAAGACCAACCAACTTACACAAAAATTAATTAATTAAAATTTAATTTTTTTTAAAATTTAAATTATATTAAATTGAAACATGCATAATATTACAATATTAAATGAGAGTATAAGATTCACTTTATATAAATAAAACAATTCACTTTTTCTTTCTTCTCCCGACGTGGGATTATCAAATAAATCATAGACTAATTAGCTAGCTAATGGAGATTTTCTTAATTGTTTGAAATTAAGAAAGTCAAGAAAATTAGTATGAGGTATTAAAACTCTCACAATGCTCCTTACTAAAAAACCCACTTTTCCTTATATAATATATAGATTCCAAAATTAAAAATTAAAAAAATAAAGACCCCAAAAAAAAAAAAAAAAAAGGAAAAAAAATTCAATCGACTTATACAATGAATGATTTTATCACTATAGACAAAGGCATTAATATAATTCATAGTAACTTTCATATTCATGATGGAAATAAGATGGCATTATCACCCAAAATTTACTATAAAATGGATCTTGACTGCATTAAAATGATACATTAACTTAGCTACTGCTAGCATTAGATGTGGTACTTCCCCTACTAACCCAATTTTGCGTCAAAGAATTAGGTGAAAGCGTTGGTGGATCACTCTTCAACAACACAACATCATCTGCTGGTATGTCCATCTCGTCAGCAACCTTCCTATCATAACCCACACTGCTGATTTCCTTCAAAACCTCCAACACTTCTTTCATCGATGGCCTCATATCGCTCTCATTTTGCAAACACTGAAATGCCAACTCAGCAACCACCTTGATCATCTCTGTCACTTTATAATCCGAGTTAAACCCAAGACACGGGTCAACAAGCTCATGAATTGCTCACATTTTGCTCTCTCCTCTCAACCTCCATTTATAGGTGAGGGAGTAGGTGGGAGAGCCTTTGGGCAGCCTCCATGCTTGACTTTGGCAGCCTCCTTCTTTGACATGGTTGGTAGCCTCCTTCCTTGACCTTTGTGTGTGTTCCCATGGAAGAGAGTCACCTCCTTCACATGGGGTGAACTCAACAGTACCTTGTGGGGCCGTGGACACATGGGTCGCATCAGTTGGGAAAAGACGAGAAAGTCCAAAATCAGCAACTTTAACGCAAAAACTGTTGTCAAGCAAGATGTTGTTAGTTTTGACATCGCGGTGAATGACATCAGAAGCATGGAGGTAAGCCAATGCACTAGCGGTTTCGAATGCAATGCTCATTCTTGTAGTCCAAGAGAGGGAACAGGGTTTTGTGCAGTCGCCATGGAGGTGATCAGCAACAGTGCCATTGGGGATGTATTCATAGACGAGGAGGAGCTCGCGGCAGTGGCGGGAGGTGAAGCCGTAGAGAGAGACGAGGTTTGGGTGGCGGAGGCGGGTGAGGATCTCTATTTCGTTCATGAATTGTTCCACTCTTTTGAAATTGTGTTCGTATAATCGCTTCACTACAACTACACGCCCGTCTCGAAGTTTGCCTGGTTAAGATTATATGAAAAAAGTGGTTGATCTCAATCAAATGGGGCATCTAAGTATGCTTTTCATTACAATAAACCATAGGAAAGAAACGAAAATTCTATAATATACAACTCAAGAAACTAAATGTGTCATATGCTCCCAGTTATACGTTTTTGTAATTTTTTATTATGATTCATTGAAATATTGGTTAACGATACAGCTTATTTGAAATTAAATCAAATTGACACAATTTAGAACTTTGTGTACAACTTTTACAAAATTGAAACTTAGACAACCCAAGTGACACAATGCAAAATATTTTATCTTACAAAATATTTCAAAAAAAAGGTAGCTTGTGAGGACTGGACGGTCCAATGTAGGCTTGTGGGCTCTCTAAGGGGCCTCAGTTCAATGATTTATTAATAGTCTGCCTATGTAGATTATCCACACAAGTGCGCACGCGCAAGCACATACACCCACAAAAAAAAGAAAAGAAAAGATTAATCTGATAAATTTAAGCATATGATCTCATCAATTAGTTTTAAAAAATGGGGATGATAAATGTGATTTTGAAAATTATTTATCTATTTTTTAAAAATAAATGTGATAAAATTGTGTAGAAAAAAAAAAACTAAAAATCTTCTTTTTTTTCTTTTTATGAATGATTTCATATGAAGGTCTAAAAAAATTTATGGATTAAATAAAGTGAGACTTATGGTAAGTCCACGGGCCTAATTGGACCGTCCAACTCTTTTGAGGACTAAAAATAAGCATTATTCTTTAATATATATATATATATATATAGAATATGATACTGCCAACACTGTATTAAAAAAATGTTGAGTTTGTAAGATAGTTTTGAGTTGATAAATACCTTGGTATACAGTACCAAATCCTCCATCTCCTACTTCTTTCTTGGAATCAAAATTGTTGGTGGCTTTTTGGAGTTCATTATAACTGAAAGTTTGGACTCCATAGTAGCTTGCTTCCTTTTCGATATCATTCATTGAAGATGTATGAGAAGTGTATCGAGATATCCAAGACGATGTCGCATTGTATTTTTTGTTCCTGCGATGATAGATGATGCAAACAATAGCCACCACCACAATAACTCCCCCTGCCCCAAGCCCTGCATTGGAAGAAGAAAAAAAAAAGAAGGAAAAAAGCCAAGTGAGAATATGCTCTATAACAAGAAGTTTAGACAATTATTGGCACAAAAATCAATCATAAATCAAATAGAATTTATCCAAGTGAATATAATTTTGAACTGATTACATTTGTAGTAGTACTTGCAATTTACTTTTTCTGTCAATTTGGTCAATGCAGTTCTCTTTATATCAATATTACTCTCGAATTTTTTACGCTGTGTTAGTTTAGTCTCTCTTTAGAAATTAAATGGATCAATGGATAAAATAGTCGTGTATAATTTGCCTTCCAATTTTTTTACATGTAAATACTAATTTTTCTAAAATTTTGTTTATTTTTATATATATTTTATATTTGATTATGTGATCAATTTCTAGAATGTAAAACAATAGAAGAAACTTAATGGGCGGGGCATATTAACCTATAACAAGCGCTATTCTCCACTTCATATGCCCTGTATATGATCATGAAACATGATAAAACATTAGTACAAATATTATCACTATGCAAACTCTAATAGTGGAATATATGAGAATTTTGATGTAATACCCTAATTTTCATTTTAACAGTCTACTTGTAAAAATTTACTTATATACATAAAAAGAAAGAAAGAAAGAAAGAAAGAGCGAATGGACACAAGATTATGGATACAAGTTCTTGCCTCTAGGACTAAAATTTGCACCAAGAAAGAAAGAAACAAATAATTGAAAAATGTTGGCTACACAACATGACTCTGCAACCACTCTAAAAACGGGCATGCGGACCATGGATGGATCTAGACGAATGTCATAAAAACCATATGTGAATTATTTTTAAACACCAATTGATTTTAGAAAAGAAAGTGAAACATGGTCCGACCAGAAAGAATGATAAAAAGGACTAAGTTTCACTACGCTTACCGTCGTCACAGGTTTTGGAATGTTGTTTATCGAAGCAAAAACAGGTAAATTTGTTATTAATAGAACAACAGTTCCCTCCACTTCTCTTGCAATCACTACAATAATCTTCACTCCATTGCAAAACAAACCCTCTTCTCAAAACATCAGTGAAATTCATTTCCAAAAATGTCTTGATATCTCCACTCTCCACAGGCGCATTCACCCAAGAATTGCACGAGTCAATCGAATAATTCTCGTACTCCAAAACCTCCTTGTGAAAAACAGCAAATGATAAATCGGTAGCATTGCTTGCACAATCAACTCGATATGTCGGTTCTTTAATAGGATACGTTGAACAATTGTAGAAGAAGAAGAGATCGACATAGCCAAGACTATAGTTGTATGGAGTTCCCTCAATGCTAAAATTATGCAGAGGAATTGGACATGTATTTTCAAAATCATAGACCATGGAATTGTTGGACAATCTTCACCGTATTTAAAAGGATTTAATTCTGTTGTGTACAAAACAACAACAAGAATAAAAGAAATAGAGAAAAGGAGAGAATATGTTTGATTACAAAAATCAAACTCGAAATAAAAATAAATAAATAAATAACAGATTTTATTTTGTTACAAAAACAAAATTAAAATCTGAATAAATAAACAAATAAAAACAACACTGAAAGTAATTAAATAACTTACTTGATTTAATTTCTTCGAATTATTTTTCCTGATCAAGTCCAGTGTTTAACACTGTGTCCTTAAGACAGATTCGTCCTCTCCACGGTGCTTTCAGAATTTGGACGTCTATCTCCCAGGATAAAATGATCTACTACAAATAATAGTAGCACTACAAATTGTTTGCCTAATGAACACAAAGTGTTTATACTCTCTCTGACAAGAAAATAATGCAGCAAAATGAAGAGGAAGTTTGCAGAATTATGAAGGACGAAAATTAGAGTTATCAAAATCCAAATGAGGGTTGTCCTATTTATAGATGGAATGGTGGCTCTAGGTTTTTGAATTGAACAGGTATGATACCTGTTGGGTTTTGAATTCAAACAGATTCAACAATTCAAACAGATAGCAATTACGGGAAGGGCCCTGTTTGGGTGTGCATTAATTCCAAAACAGTTTATTTCTGTTTGAAACCGGGAAGGGCCCTGTTTGGATGAACAAAAAATCCAAACTAATTTAATAAAAAATAAAATTAAATTCAAATGTTTTTGGCCCAAAAAGATTAGAAGCCCAACCCAACCACACACCCCAACCCAGCCCGCCCGACCGGACGGATGGCGGCGCGCGTGTGTGGTGATTTTTGGGTCCAATGGGTCTAGCCCATTTTGCCCATAACCTCTCCCTCTAAAACACTTGGGTACCCCTTGGGGCACACCCTAAGTATCTCACCCTAAGCCTTATAAACCCTTTCAAAACTTCCCACCAAATCAATGTGGGACAAGCCAATTTACAACCTTAAGGAATTTCCACCAAAACTCCATTTCCATGGAGCACACTTTGGCTTCAATTTCCCATTCACTCGGTAATGGTTTTGAGCAACCAAATATACCACGTGAATCACAACGCGGCATAGAACGCGTTACCACTTTGACCCGAGTAAATCGACACTCGGGGCCCACCTAAAAAATAGACCGAACTTAGGAAAAAATTCTGGTTTTATCCAGAATTTTATAACCATTCCAACAGGAATTGGCCAAGAGAAATGAATTATTGGCGTAGAATATTTCTTCGATGACATAATCATCATCAGATATCGCGACAACCAGGTTTCCGCCATTGCAAGTGACCTCAAAGTTTGGTTGGCCACAATAGGACTCATGCAAATTAGTAATCCAAAAAGGGTAACTTATATTTGGACCATTCCCGCAATTTTGAGGCACACAGGCCTCGAAATTTGGGTCTACGGATAGAGTTTCATTTGCGAAGACGGATAATATGGTGAAGATGACAGGAATTGGAAAGATTTGTTGAATTTGAGATGCATTTGGAGAAGAAAGAATGGAGAAAACAAAGAAAAACAGGGGAGAAGAGAAAACAGAGGAAAACAGGGGAGTAGAGGAGAGAGGTGTGAAAGTGGAGGAGAGAAGCTTTTGTAGAAGAATTACCTTTGTGTTGTTTTGGGTTTAATGATTGGGAGGTTTGAAAATGTTGGCTTAGATGCACAAGAAAGACAAACTTTAGTTCAAACAAAAGCAAGTGTCTTGCTTTTTCTTCAACTACCTCTAAAGTCAGCGATAGAACAGAGTACAATCAATGGGCTTTAATTTCAACCATATGTACATGATCTTGGATGCTTATATTGAAAGTTATGTATTTTGAAAAAATAAATATCATGAAAATTGTTTAAAAAAGAAAATGTATGGTGAAATTCAATAACGGGGTATAAGTCACATTAAAAAATAAATACGATCCACTTATTTAATTTTCTGAGTAATTTTGTGTGTGTGTGTGTGTAATGTTATCAATGTTGTTGTTAACTTGATTTTTGTTAATTGAAGACATAATTTTTAAAATTGGCAAGTAATTGGTTTTTGACCTCTAGAATGGGTAACTTAATCTAGATTTTAACAAAATGAACAGTGATTGTGTGCAAGTCTTTTAAATATTTAACATTGGACAATTTTTGTTTTATTGTGTATTCAACAGATGAATGTTAACATTCTCGAGTTGCTTGAAGATTTAATAATTTGCCAATATTCAAATTTCAAGTCATTAGAAGATTACTGTAAAATGCAATCTATCAAATCGAAAATTTGTTATTTGGTAAGAGTAGAATTAATTAAAAGAAAAAATTTAGAATACTTAAAATATGTAAAATAAATTTAAATTTCATATTATGTAAACTACACCAGAATGAATCTGACATGCACAAATTTTTTTGACAGCTTTTCATTCAACTCTTTTAATCCCTAGCATTGTTCTCATTGAAAAGACCAAAATATCCGAATAATTGGAAAATTCAGATAGAATATTTGAAAGCTCTGGTAACTTTCACTGGTTGTTAGTAAGTTTGAAGAAGATTCGAATATTTGAATGATCCATTGTAGTTCATGGAAGTCATAAAAAAAAATTAAAAAAAAACCAAATATTTTGAGAAGAAATCAAAAACAAAAATCAAGTCATTTTTTGAGAAGAAATCAAAAACAAAAATCAAGTCATTTTTTTGTCTTCTTATTTATGGATGAAGTTTTTCTTAAATTCAAATTTGGACTTGACCGTCAGGTTCACGCTCTTGGGGCCCATCACAGGTCTCATTTCAATAATTTAAACCATTTATTTTGTAAATTCTCTGTAGATATTATATTATCCATAAAAATAATTCGATAATCATAATTTTTTCATTTTATCGCGTTTATTATAAAAAAATGGATAGTTTATTTTTAAAAATCTACATTTCATTTTTTTTTATAAAACAAACGCGATAAAATAAAAATGTTACAATTATTAAATTGACATAATAAATTTCATAAATAATATATATGTAAGATCTTATAAAATAAATTATTTATATTATCGAAATGGGATTTATAGTGAGCCGAACAAAACCAAACATAAGCATAAGCCAATTCTTTTATTTATTTATTTTTTGGTCTCTTAATAGAAACACAACTAAGTACACAAATTAAATAAACTGTAATATACTTTTTCCTATAACTTCTTGTACTAGACCAACTCATAAAATGCAAATTGGGATTAAAAAAATGTGGTCAATATCCCAAAAATGATATATATATATATATATATATTAAAGTCTTAAATATCAGCCTATACATATTAGTATCTTTAACTTGTGATATTGTCACACCAACTAATAATGTCCAATACAGATCAATATTTAACTGTATTACTAATATCGATATGTATTTTAATATTATTATTTAAAATTATTATATCTATATATGAGACAAACTCTAAGGGATTAGTCTTGTGAGTGCAACTTAGGGTTCTGGGGTGTACTCTTGTAAATCTCAAGTTCAACCTCATTAGGAGCAATCCGTTACTTGGGATCATGTCTGCGAGTTTTACTCGAGATTTGTTCAATCCACGTAAAGGAACGCTTTGTGTGAGTCCTAAGATTAGTCCAGATGCGCGTAAATCGACCCAAATATCCGATTATCAATATATATATATATATATGAGACAAACAATAGAATTTTTATGTAAATGTGAACAAGAGAACATTGGGAGACCAAAGTGGGGACATGTGTGGAAAAAAAAATGAGATGTGAGTGTGATGATTGGAAAGTGGAAAGTTGGTGGTAACCGAAAGCGTGTGGAAAAGAGGAACTTTCCAAAATCATTTTCACAAAAAAAATTATTAGACATAATAGTGATATCACATGGTGGTAATAGTAATTTAAGATTTTTAAAATTTTAGATTAAATATTAAATAAGATATTATTCAATAAAATTAAAATAAAATTAAAATTTTGACAATAAAAATTTAAAATAAAAAATTGTCAGTAGGTTAATGGTTAAGTTACCGAACAATCTCAATTTACAATAAACATTATAATATTATTAGATTATTATAAAATAAAACTTTTTATTTAATTTTATTTATAATTTTTTTTATTAAGCGATAACAAGACACGGAGTGGTGATCAATATTTTTCCCAATTTCACCTGCATTGAAAGTGAAATGTAATGTGAGGACGACACAATGGTGACGGAGACACGTACACGCAAGTATTATGCGTAATCTACACATCACGGGTTTAAGCTTATAGCGATCCCGGTTTTCCCTTCCTTATTTATTATATTCCGGACTCGGTTCCGTGGATGTGTTGTTGTCTTATTCTCATTTCCATCCTCTACTCTTTGTATTTGAGTCTTGGGTTGTATTGGGCTGGTTTGAAACAGGTTGGTTGTGTTTAGAAACCAAGAGTTGATGCCTAGATTTTGGCCTTCACGCTCGAGCGGGGCTTTTAACGCTCGAGCGGGCGCTTTGCATTTGTTCCTCTGCTCAAGCGGGCAGTTTGGCGCTCGAGCGGGATTATTCAGTCTTCAGTACTTTTCCCTGCAAGTCATCGGACGCTCGAGCATCCACTTTCATGCTCGAGTGGGGACCTTCGTCTGCAGAACTTCTGGAAGTGTGCATTCGACGCTCAAGCGGCGCTTTTGACGCTCGAGCGTGAGTCTGTGTCTGACGCTCGAGCGGGGCGTTCCACGGTCGAGTGGACTGTGTATTATATCAATCCGAATTTTAGCATTTTGAATCACTTTTTCAGGCCATTCTCTCTCTCTAGCTTTTCAAAACCCTAATTTGAGAGCTCCTTTCTCTAGAACTCTCTCTCTCTCTCTACATTTTGATCTTGGTTTAGTGAGACCCAACCCTTGTGCCTTCATTAAAGTGGTAGAGCTTTGCAAGACCTCCATTTTGATCCGAAAATCTTGGGATTTGGAGCACTTTCGAATTGGTTCATCATCTCTTTTGAGCTCCGAAATTTGAGATAGGGATAACTACTCATATTTATGATCTTTGACATAAACTTGTGCTCATTTTGATTTAATGTTGAAGTTGGGAAGTTTTGCGTGTTAGGGTTTCAAATTATATAAAGAGGGGTTTTGTTCTTTTGACCAATACATGTGTATTTTGAGTCTTAAAATAAGGTTATTGATGTTTATTGATGACATTTGGACCCTTGGGTCAATGTTGAGAAAAGGGAGAGAAAAGCCCTAATTTATTGTGATGAATTAATTTGTATAATTAAGTTGGGAAAGTTATGGAAATATGAAATTGAGTTGGAAATAATGAAATTGGGTAATTATGAGGTTTAATGGTGAAGTTAGATTGATTAATCACTCACCTTTGAAATTGTAGATAATTTATTTGTTTGATAATGTATTATCTGTTTAGAAATAATTGTTTTGGGCTATCAGTGGAGGATAGTCTTGATTGTTGTAGACACTGCATGATGATTAGGTGAATTAAAACTAATCAATTGAATATGTCATTAAACATGACGGATGGGATAATACATTGAATATGTGTTTGGCTTGATCATTGTATATGATAAGCGTTTGAATACATTGTATATGTATGTTGTTTGGGAGGAGATAGGTGATGTACTCCACGGTTTGGGAGGAGAAAAGGGATGTACTCCTAAACCGGATTTGGGAGGAGATAGGGTATGGACTCCAGTGATAACTAAGTTGGCCGAAGTGAAAGTCCCGAAATCCTAATTGCATTTATATAACGTGGATAAATTGAAGTATTGAAATGATGATAATATGAGTTGTAGTCTCATTTGAACTCAAAGTGTTAAAGTGTTAATTATGTGAGTTGTAGTCTCATGTTAATTGATCATAACCGAAGTATTGTTGATATGAGCCGTAGTCACATTTGAACTGTCTGGATGAATAGGGAACCATATCTATGAATTGGTTTGGGTAATGAAATGGAAGGAGATGTATGTTTGTTTATATGAGTTAAACATTTATCGAATGCCAATGTTTTAGTTATTGTTTATATTATGTTTAGCATATCTCTACTGAGCGTTGGTTCACCCTATATGTGATATCATTTTCAGGTTCAGGTGTTATGCCGCCTCCAAGGCCTTAGCTTGGATGGTTTTGGGAGTTGAAGATTCTTTTGGTTGTTTTATTATTTTGGTGATACATGTAAATTAAAGCCAAGAGCTTACTTGTGTAAAGAGTTAGAACTCTTCTTTTGTTATAACCAAGTGTTGACTTGGAAAGTTGTAAGCCTACAGGGCATTTACTTTTGTTGTCAACATGTATTACTTTTGTAAGAATACTCTGATGAATGGAAATATGCTTTATTCTCTTGTCTATGAATATCATGAATGTTGGGTTTATATGTATTATTTTGAGGGCGTTACAACTTGGTGTCAGAGCATACCAGGTTTGAATACTTTGGGTATGTGGGAAGTGAGTAGTATCACAACGGGTTTGTCTCGCTTGTTAGAGGCTTATGTGTAATGTCATGTGCTTATGTGATAACATGTTTATGTGACTATATGGGTATGGGATTTAGTTTCTAGGATGTTGATTGGATCCTTGGGTTTCTGTGAGTCTTGTTGGAAAAGCACTTGATCAATGTTGTTTCTAACCAGAACTCTAGTAACGCCTCGGGACTATCAGTATCCGGAAATGAAATTCGTAGGTACTTATGTGATTATGTGCTTACATGGAGTGAATTACTGTTGTCCATGTATTAGGACGCGAGTATTGTAGCTTCGGCACATTTATGAATGTGCTAATGTTCTTCGTTACCTTTATTAGGATGTTAGGACGAGGACGCGGAGGTAGGCGAGGTAGGCCTAGGAGGCAGGAGATGCCTATATCGGATGGATTTCCGGAACAGCAGGAGGGG